CTGGCATCTCCAGTTAAAAGAATCAGATATTAGGTGATTTGAAAGACCTCTGCCTGAGACCCTGGACAGCTGCCAGTCTGAGTAGCCAACACTGAGCAGACAACACTGACCAATGGCCTGATTCAGTAAAAGAGATAAAAAAATAAGGCCAAGGCTGATGGAGCAAGAAAAGTAAAAACAATGTTTTATTACTCAGCTAAAAATTCCCTGCGAGTCTCACCAACAGGCTACTGAGATCTTGTACTCTTTTTGAAGGAACATTGAACGACTAGCAGAGTCCCCTGAAGAAGTCTGGTGGCGGAACATATTGGGAATTTTTAGCTGAGTAATATAATTTTTACTTTACTTGTACCATCAGCCTTATTTTTATCCCTTAGTAACTGGTTCAGCCCTTTTATTTTCTCCCTGATTCGGTATAAGGCAGCTTCATATGTCAAATGCCCCACCAATTTATTTATGGCAGGGTGGGCAGGGAATGATGCAGCTGTCACTGAAAAAAGGTCTGCACTGTAGTTGAATTAGCAGCTCAAAGAAAGGCTCAGCTGGGGGGGTGCCCCTGGAAGGATCTGAGGTGGCAATCAAGCTCATAGTAAACTAGTAAAAAATCAGGACATAAAAGCACTGCACTGCAGACTAATGTATGGTTTTATTCCCATTTGCTGTGTGCCACTTTTAGAGTCCATGGGAGAAATCTAGGATCTGGGATTTTATCCTCAGTACAAGATGAACAGCCCTGACTTGGATGGCCCAGGCTAACCTGATCTTGTCAGATCTCAGAAACTAAGCAGGGTCTGGCCTGGTTAGTATTTGGATGGGAAATCATCAAGGAAGCCCAGGGTTGCTATGTAGAGGCAGGAAACAGCAAACCACCTCTGTTAGACTCTGGCCTTGACAACCCTTTGGGATCACTGTAAGTCAGCTGACACTTGATGGCACTTTCCACCACCAACAGGCAATGTTCCCTCTAAGCTGTGGAGTCTTGTGAGCAAAAATTCTACTTTGTGAGCTACTGGCATTCAGGCTGTGGGCGAGCGATTTCGCTACTGCATTAATTAGTTTGCTCCGGAGCCGTCCTTCCTGAACTGGGACAAAAATGTGTGAGCCGGAGGCTAAAAAACTGTGAGCTAGCTCACACTAACTCAGCTTAGAGGGAACACTGCCAACAGGTGAACATTATAAAACAACTCTCCTTCGCTTGCCATCAGAAGTCACTGCAAATGGAGAAGAGGAGCTGCCTAAAAATCCTGAATTCCACCAAGATTCTGAATGCCCACCAATATTTGCGCATTGCCCCCAGAAATTATATGACCCCCATTAAGAGTCACTGTCTTAGTCCCTGACCTGGATAGTCCAGGCAAGACCAATCTCGTCAGATCTCGGAAGCTAAGCAGGGTTGACTCTGGCAAGTACTTGGATGGGAGACCTCCTTGAAATACCAGCAGTCGGGAGGCGGCAGCAGGCTTTATTCAGCTGCCTCTCTGAATATACTCCAGGGCCCCAGTAGGGATCAGTCACCAGAGGTCGCCATGACTTCCAGGTGCACACACATTCACATGCACATGCGCACACACACAAGCACACATAAAAACTACCAAAACCCCCCAGGTCACTGTCATAGAAATGCGTTTGTTTCTTTAAAAAATATAATGTGAGTTGTAAATATAATAGGTGCTTAAACTGGTGTTAAAAAACCTAGAGAAGACACCCAGATGAAACAAGGCACTGAACCCTTAACTCAGGAACTGAGTATGGAGAAATTTCAGGGACATCCACAGGGTTGTGGTGATGTAGTTGTTCCATAATAACCAGGAATTCAGAACATGGTTAATATTTTAATGCACACTTCATATGTGCTATGTTGATGCTTGTGCTTGGATATACAGGATTAATGACTGCACCTTTGACATTAATAGACTGCTGCCCTGATCTGGATAGCCCAGGCAACTTGGATCTCGTCAGATCTTGGAAGCCAAGCAGGGCTGACCCTAGCAAGTATTTGGATGGGAGACCTCCAGAGAATACCAGGGCCAGGAGGCCAGAGGCAGGCTATCAAGCCACTTCTCTGAATGTCCTCTGTGCCCTAGTAGGAGTCACCAGAGGTTGCCATGACTTCCAGACACATGCACGCACACACACACACACACACAAATACCAAAATACTTTCAGTTGGTAATTTCAGAGAAATTACTTAATTTGAGGTATTCTCCTAGTACTCAAAAGCCAGATCCATAATTAAAACAAAGGTTTTGGGATACTAAATTGCAACACTATTTAAGTGTTGCCACAAAGTAAATTCCAAATAGATCTTTTATTTTAATATATTTTATGTAATTTACATGTAACGTTTCTGATAATACATTTACTTCTGTGCTGGTCTGTGACTGTAATAAATACCTTGTCACTCACTCATATGTGCTATGCACATGACCTGGACATGTGATGGCATAATCAAATAATTTATTTTGTAATGTGGCTGGGTATTACATTTTGTGATATATGGCACTGTTCTTTGGAGGAAACTATGGAGGAAAAATTGAACAACGATTCTACAAATTACCTGCACTGCAGGTAAGTCTTTTTGGCTCTTTATCAAGCAGGATTTGTGATAGTCACTCCACAAGTGTATCATGTTTTTATTTATGTGTCTGTCTTTTTCTTTATGTTTGCGGAGTGCAGTGGTACAATTTTGAGAAAATCTCACTGAAGTGTGGGGAGAGGGGTTGTGCTTACTGGGCTGTACCAATGATCTTCCATGTTCAAACTGCTGCTATTTTACAAGGGCATCTGCCGCTTTATTTGTTTCTTGAGTATTGTAGTTAAGTACGGTATAACATTTCAATGATGTGAGAATAAGTTCTCAGGAGATTATTCCCATTGTTTCAGGAAATCAAAGAGCACAGCACAAAATTACAGTATCTTCGTTTGCAGAAGACATGATTATGCAAAAAATTGCAAAATGTAAGTTAGGGATAGTAAGTTTCTTCTCCAATTCTTAAGTATTTGCTAAAGTTAACACCAGTTTGAAATCTGTGTTCTAATATGGTCTTTGAAATGTCTTACAGACTCTCTCTTTAAATCCAAATGTTAATCTATTAAGCACATAAGCCTCACATCAGAAGTGTCTTTATGTAATTCTCCTTTTTTTGTTTGCTAAAGAATTTTTTGTTTGTGGCATCTGTAGTTGTTCCATGTAGTTCCTGTGCATGAAATTCTTTAGTGATAGCATTTCTTCTGAGCGTAAAGGGTATTCTGTGCTCTTCTCCTTCCAAACATGTATTCTAAAATCTCTCCAATATCGAATTTTCATAATGTATACCATGAAATAGGTTCCCTTTCCTCTGAAGCTGTAACAAGTATAAAAACAGGGCTCTGGACCCAAAGAACCGTGAGCAGAGCTTTGCTTGCAGATCTGATCTTTCCTGTCTCCTCCTGTTTTCTATCATCCCATGTGCCATTCCCAAAGCTGATCCTCTTGGGGAACCTCAAAGAACAAAGGGGCATGCAGAGGTGGAAGTGAGGAAGAGGTTACAGCTCAAGTCATGTGTCACTTCTGAGCAGCTCAAGGAATCACCAGAAACTCTATGGTAAGAACTTCCTGTAAGTAGACAAGGCCTTATTTTTGTTTTTAATTTTCCTCCCACTGCTGCTAGAAGCAGAGGTGGACAACAGGACCTGGTAGCTCTAGTGGAAACTAAAATGAACCCAGAAGAAGCAGTAACTGGCAGTTTCTGCCACAGGTTGATACTAATCTTCATAAAAAGAATCTAATTTTTCAGAAGAAGTAAAATGAAAACCATGAACATTGTGATTCTTATGCAAATAGTTCCATTTAGTCTTCTCCTCCCCAAACCACAGATGTAGTTAACAATTAAAGGGTTGGACCCCTGGATCAGGAACTCTTCCTCCTCCATGTAAATTCGTCTTGCCCTTTCTCTCTGACTTCAATTATGACTAAAGTTTACATCAGCCTCAGATGCAAAAATGAGTGCTGTGGAAGAACTGAAACATCCTAACCAACATATAAGGTTACTCATAAAAATCCTCTCCATATTTGTTGAGAAAAAGCATTTTCAGAAGTTGGTTGGTCATTGGCACGCTGGCAGCCAATGGGAGAAAAATAAAAGCCAGTATTATATCACTTTTGGGGAAATCTGGAATTGACATCCCACCTCTAAGAAATCAGTGGAAACTCTAGTTTTCCGTGATTCCTAAAGATGCGTATTGATACATCTGGTTTTTTTCCTGGAAGTCATGTAATGCTGTTGCTCGAAGTCTCCTCTCATCATCCCTACACCTTCTGGATTCCCACCAGTTGCCAGCCCTAATAGGTAGAAGTGTGTTTGCAGTAGGTGTTTAAGATGATATAGCCATTTTGATAATCCTAGGCTATTCCTATTAGTGCTGAAACTGAAATACTTTTCCTGTTGCATCCACCTGACTGGGCAATAGTACTACTCCAGTCTCTTTCCTTTTCCTATTAGTTTTGCTGTTGTACCAGAGGTTACTCTAAAAGATTTGACGACATTCATTTTTGTTATTAAACTCCTTGACAAGGATCCTATTTGAGGTTGAACTGGAAAATGTTGTTTTAAACTAGTCTGATAATAGTAAGCTTTATCTTAAGAACAATAAACACTATAGTCCTATATATGTCAAAGATGGGAATTTGTATGTATTTCACAGCAGGAAGCAGGCAGTGTGCCACTAAACCCCATACTAGTAGAACAGAAAGAACTGTACCAATGTTTGAAGATTAACAGTATCATGATAATAATTTAAAAAACATACAAATGTGTAACATGCATATTCTGTCCACATTTGCCAAAAAGCCATGCTTAAATTATACTAAAAACTCTGGATTGGGGCCATGTCTGTTAGCAGTTCCCATTACAGTGCCATTACAATGCCTGGTATTCTATTCCTAAAACAAACTGACTAGACTCCCAAGTGTGCTTAGAAGAAGGATGTTAATTAAATAAACTGCCATATGCATCTCTTACCTGGGAGGAAATGAAATGTCCAGTTCATATAATTTGTCTTTAAAGACTGACAGCTCTTTGTCAAATTCCAAGAGCTAATGGGAAAAAAAACAGAAATAAAATAAGTTTACATTGTTCAAAACTGCAGTAATAGTTAGACATTTTAAGTTCCAATACTTGCACTGCAATAGGTTTCATGATTTTAACTGTGTTATATTAAATAGTATATTAAACAGTATTATCTTGTGTTTTTCAATTTTTTTGTATGTATTTATTGGGCATTTTTGTGAAACACTGATTTAGAAATTTTAAATTAAAAAGATGAAAAATTATTTGGTTGGTGAGGCTTGATTAGGGGAATACTGTGAATGTGTTCATTTCTAGGACACTTAGAAAAGACTAGAGAAACACTGGGGGGGAAAAGACATTAAAAAGCACACCTCTTAGGACGTTCTGAAAATCTACAAATTTTCTCTTATACCAGTGCGAATCTTCATCTTTTCAAGATTATTTAGGATCTTATAAAGGCATTCACTATATTTTCTAAGATATCACTATATTTTCTAAGGTAACACAGACAAGCCATTTGAAACCTGTATATATAGCATGATAATAAACTGTCAGGATATACTCAGACATATTAATTTTCTCCATCTCTAGGCTAGTTAAAATGTTACAGCATGTATACAATGCAAGTGTTATGAACAGACTATCTACAATAAACACAAAGATGTGGAGACAGATTACTTTATCCACAAAATGCATGCAATACTCCTATTCAAGTATTTTGGGGGGCAATGGTTAGAGAATTTTTAAAAAAGGATTAAAAAAGAACAGAGATGTGTGTATGTGTGTATACCCCCCCTACCCCCCACACACTGGAGTTCTCAAGCAGCAATCAAGAGAGAATATCACAGCCAGCATTCAAACACAGTTTAATAAACTGAATATATACAGGAGCCCCCGGACAAATCCATTCCCCTGTAGACCACCACAAAAAATAGTGTACAGCCTAACCTTTTGCTCAAAAGCACAAACCTTTTATATAAGTTAAGTTTCGTAGTTTACATTTTAAACCAAGAGTCATCCTGATGGGTATAAACAGCCACATGTCGGAACCACAACTGCTGTTGAATCTGACGAGCAAATGAATGTGCAGTGCTCCCAACCCACTGCTGAAGTGCCACTTTCACTTTCGACAAGCATGCCATCAAAACCGGCACTCCTTATATTGCCTGCATGTTTACTCGGTATTCATTAATCATGTCCCAGCTCACAGCTGGCTGATACCACTGTATGAATGGCAGAGGTTCCGAATGAAATTAGATTGTGTTCTTCTTTCCCCTTCGCTCCACCATAAATCATTCCTGAAATGTGCAATTAGCAGCTACTTGTACACATTAATTATCTGTGTGAAAACCAGCTACCTGAACCACCTGCACAACTGATTAGCTACCTCCCTGTGGCCCACCCATTTTGCATTCGGACTTGGACTGCAGTGCCCCAACCATCTAGGTGTATTTTTTGGCTTTTCACATGTGAGAATGTAAGCAACATTCTCTTTTTCTTATGTGTTATGCCAGTTTGAAGAGAACTATTTTCCAAAATGACATACTCTGAGCTACCTTATTCAAGTTCGAAGTACACATGTAAGCATACCATGATAACCTTAATGCAAGATATCTACAGGCAGGGGTCATTTCATAGAAAAAGAGCTAGGGGGACTCATTAGCATAACTCATTAGCATATGCCACACCCCCTGACATCACCAGAAGTGTGTCCTCCCCACAGCCGGCGGCGACCTCCAGCGGGCACCAGCAGGGAGCTCCAGGCCCCGCCCTCCCGCACCTCACCCGGGGGGATGGCATCCCCCCGCGTCCCCCCCAATGACCCCTGTACAGGGGTCTTTTTCTAGAAAAAGAGCTGCAGGAGCTCATTAGCATATGGTATGCTAATGAGCTACTGGGCTATTAGCATATACCACGACCTCTGACATCACCGGAAGTGATGTCAGAAGGGGAAGCAAAAGGGGGGGGGAGGCATCTTCAAAAGCCTCCCCTTTCCTTCCCCAGCTAGGGCGGGGGGGGGAGCAAAGAGAGAAGGGGTTTAAAGTTTAAACCCCTTCTCACTAGAGTTGGGCCACAGAAGGAGGAAAGAG